CAAAGGAAGTAACACCATATGCATGTCTATTTTAACACTCCTTTCTAATAATTTGCTTTTTGACATCTTCAGAAGCAGGATAGTGGTCTAAACGGGCTTTTGTCTTGACCCAGTAGACAAATTATGTTCTAATACAATTACATTTTTCTAGCAATATAAGAAATTAAGATAGAAAAACTTGTGAAAGCTAGAACAGTATTAATTGCCCAAAGAACAACGACCATTATCAAATCACCCTCTTCAAAGAGAAAGACAGTATTTTCAAGTTTTGGCATGTAGAACAAAGGGATTATATTTTACAGTGTTCTGGTATACCTTAAAAAAACTTCCTAAAATGAGACCCATAGGAAGAAGGCATGTTCTCTTGAATTGAAAACTGGTCGAGAATGCTAACTTTGCTCCAGTTCTACAGTTCGGACCAAGATCAAGAACAGCTCAAAATACAACAAGAACACAATTGTGGTACTATTTTCTTAATAACACAAACCATGAAGTAATAAAATATTATGTTGTTTGATAACAATAAATAAAGTATTAAAAGTTAACAGGCATGCAAAACCACCCAGTCCTTTTGGCTTAACAGAGGACTCCTTACTTGATCAACTACTTCTCTAATGCAAGGAAATCAAAAACATTTACTAATTCTTTGGTTAAATGTTGAAGTGTAAATCTCTTCTGTGACCTGCAGAGATCTACATGCTGAGGACCGCACTTTTTTCTTTTTATTGAAAGTGATTCAGTGAGGATTCTTTTCTAAAAATACAACCAATTTAAGCAGAGTTGATAGAACAGATGATACTACCCAAGACAGCATGTGCAGTGAGTCAGCCCTGCAATTTCTTTAAAATCACTTTTCATGACTATTTTAGAATGATCTAACTCCAATCTCAGAAGAGAGTTTAAGGAAGGCAAATAGTGGCAAGTTTCTCAGAAGCAGAAATAATTTGAATCAGGTGCCCCTAAATTCAGTAGAACCTGCCAATATGAAACCTAGTTTCCTGTGACATACATGGGCTCCTTTCCCCTAGTTCACACCATCATGAATACCTGGAAGACAGCAACAAGTATTCATACAATTAATCCATAAGGATTATTTTTGGATTCAGGTATCAGTTGCTACTACTGAATGAAGTGTGAATAGTTCTCTTCAGTTCTTTTCACTGCTACCTGAAAGCTAAGGCGACTCCTGCCAAAATTGCACATATATAACAGCAATCAAATATATATATAAATTAAAAAAGGAAGCAAACCAAAATGCCTTAAGATTTACATCCATGTTAGACAGATCACTTGGAGACTCTTATCCATTGCCACTGCTTCAGTGAAAAAAGACTGAAGAGCTTTGCAGCTTGAGTTTGGACTGAACAGCTTCATTAGAGGCTAGTTCAAAAACGAGGCTGCCCAGCCAAGTAGAGAAAGCAGCTGAAATTTTGCAGGAATTTATTTGCTTTTCCTCTCTTAAACATTTTTATCTGTTCCCATTGTTTGGTAAATTGTGAGAGAACTCTAATTTATTAGAATAGATGAACATCGTGTCCCGTTCTTATTCAATGTTACGTTCTTGGTGCTAGTCTAGTATTTTCTTTGCATATTTATTAAACTGACATGATTTTCACGATATGCGATGTAAACCCCAAGACCTTTCAGATGAAACTCAATCCTTGGTGAAGTCAGTGGGACTTCTGATAACTGATTGAAGTGTGGGCATGGAGTTACAATGCAGTTTTATGCAAAAGGTATTTTCTAATATGTTTGAGCCATACTCACGTTCAGTGTATGCCATTAATGTTCGTAAAGTTATTCCTACAGGGGATTTAGCTTAAGCTTCTCAGCATACGACTTGACTCACCAAGCATAGCATCAGCTTTAGGAAGCTCATGCATCTAGGAAATGGTCCAGACCATGGAGAAGACAGGAAATGTTCTTTTTGCATAATTTTTAATAGACTAAAAGTACCCCATGCTAATGCTGTGCAGAAATAATTACTACATTGGAAAAAAACCTTGATGTTAATATATTATAAAGTTATATTTTACTTATATATATTATGCTATGAAATATATTATACTTTATCTTATACTGACTTGAATATAAAGATGCATACTAAGAAGCTTAGCTTCCCCTTTTTCAATACTGTTAGATGATCACAGGAGCACTGCATTAGATGTTTTCAACAGCTGTACATAAATACATTTTATCCTGCTCACCTATGCATATAAGTAGCTTCTAGAAATCCACAAAACTATTCTCATAGGTAAGGTATGAGAGAGATCTCATTGAATTTTTTGGACATGCAAAGAAGATGAAGTAATCAACACAGAATTACTTAGTTGAATTACAATATAATTGATTGTGTTATGCCACTTGAAAACTTAAAATCCCTTGGCAGCTAAGTTTTTTCACATGCTCCATTCTGTACCATCTCATCCCATCAGTTTAAGCACTACTTAAATGGAGAAAAATTACTTGCAGGAGGTACTGTGGTATAAAAGGCATACTTTAGGGGAATTAAAGAGAGTGCGTGGTTGTGAGATGATAGCCAAGGTAAAGAGAAAGAGAAAGGAAGGGACTGTGCTGAAAAAACTTCAGAAAGAATCCAAATAGTATGGAATGAAGGAATGAAGGCAAAGCATGGAAGCTAGAAGCTGCAGAGTCTGCTGCCTTTTAGCAAAGGCTCCAAGAAATGCTTGTGGGCTTTCTCCAGGCACAGGCTCCCACTCCTACTGTTCCCAATCCAAGGTCAGCACCTTCTTTCAGTGGTTCCACAATCTCTATATACTTCAGTATCTATTCACCTTGCTCTCTTCAAGAGGCCCTGAACTGAAAACGATTTCTCAGGCTGCAAGTACTAGGCATGAAAATACATTAAGTAAAAAAATCTCTTGCTTAACTTCAACCATGAGATACAACACTGATAAGTTCTGAAATTCCTCAAGCAAGGGGCTGCAGAGCTGAGGCTTGGGGTTGGAACCCCTGTGAACTTTCCCACTGCAAAAGTGAATCTCGGATCTGGAAATGGAGTTACCAATGGAAAAACATGGTAACTGCTGCTCTAGGCCATTCCCTGAAGTTATCCCCAGTACAGACTCATGGAAACACTCGAAGGAACCTCAGAAGTTACTGGTTCACACATCCTGCTCAAAGCAGGGCCAAGACTATGTTCAGACCAGCTTATTAGGGCTTTGTCAGTCTGAAAACCTCCAAATATGGGGATTATACAAGCTGTGCAACATGCTCCAATGCTTGATTGTCCTCAGGGTGAACTTTTCTTTAGGTTGTGTCTAGCAAGAATGGCTAATTCATACAAGTGTGATTTTTTTACACTATTGAGAAACAGCCATCTCCAAAACCAAATGCAATGGCCAGCTGCACGATGAACACATTAGGTAAAGTATGGCTAGAAGGCTATCATCGAAACCCAAGTGGCTAGAGCTCAGGCCTCAGTATTTCATCTCAGTCGAAGGAAGAGGTATCATCAGCACAGTTCACCAAGGAGGTGTGTGTGTTTTGCCTATCTATATATAAAAAAAATCTTTGAAAAAGAAAAAGGGAGCTGGTGTTCAGTACACAGAAATGAGACTGTTAAGAATACATGGTGAAGCTGTAGATATGTATCACTCCATTATCTTTGCAAAGTATAGTTTTAACAAGTCTTCCTGGGAAAGTGAGTGAATTGCATCCAACAGAAACATTCACTTGCCCCTTCAAAAATAAAGGTAAAAATGCCAATCTCTTACTATTCAACACTGCAAAAATCAGACCTGCTTCTAAAAGGACTTAAGTGATGTCATGCATTGGGCAGTTTCTTTAAAGGCAATGGGATTACTCACGCTGCATAAAATTTGGCATGCACATCTCTCTTTGAAGAACTGATGCTGTAGGGGGAGCACTTGCAAGCTCGTAAAATTTTATTATGAGCAAAATTATTTAAATAAATATGAACAACACTTTTATAATGCTGTTGGTAGACATTAACAAGTAAGAAAGGAAAATATTAGCAATAAACAGTATATATCCCTATATAAAAGGGCAAATGACTTTTCACACCTACCGTATTCCCAGTGAAATAAAGTATATTCACCCAAAGCAAAATATAAACCACGATAACAAACTATGTCTCCTGTGACACCCAGCTTTTAGAATTTACTCTGGAAAAAGAAATCACACCTTATTAATCTTCCAACTGAATTGCATGATTTAAGCATTCTAGTGCAGTAATTTAGTAATGCAGAAGGAACAGAACAATTTTATAACAGCTGACAGAAAAAAAAAAGAAAAAAAGGAATCCATTTCTCAGAAAATGTAATTAAGAAATGAAAAAAGAAAAGAATTGTTGTGGTTGCTACACCAGACAAAGGTAAGTATGCCTCTTGTTAAAAAAAATCTGCAAGGATCTAGAAGTAAGCATTCAGCCTGACCACCATGACCCTGCATTGGGTACAGGCAGGAGAAGTGGTGCTTAGATGCTGCTGAGCAGGCTGGATCTCCCAGCTCCTGGGCAAGTGCCTAAACCCTGATGCTGGAGACCTGAATTAAGTGTCAGGTAAGTACACCACTGATAAGTACACTCACTGAGTTAAACATATTACAGACTCACCATGGGCCTAGTGCCTCCTACCAATTGGCCTACAGCCCTCTTGAAGAGGGCTGCTAAATCATCCTCATGCTGGTGCCCAACCTGCCTCGGAAGAAAAGCTGGAATTCCAGCCAAGTTCTCTGAAGCACTCCCTGTACAGTCTCTCCACTTGACTCTAAGAAGAAATTCAGTGTTTAGGCAGAATCTCTGAATCTCCCTGCCCATCAGATGCCAGAACACAAGTTTCTATCAGCTAAGATAAATGACAAACACCCTGAATTCAGCAATAAATGCCAGTACTTGACAAGGGCAGTCCTTATAATACTGCTCTCCTTACATTGTGTCACATACGTGTAAGCAATCAGACATGCCTCATTCATCATGGCTACTAAAAGGATTTCACAAGAAAGCAAGTATCAAACTGTTTATTTTGAGAATCAGAAATAATTTATTTAGTCGTATTTCAGCAGTTTTTAAAGGAAAAGAATAAATGTCCTGGATCCTCTTCTCTCTGGAAAAAAAAAAAAGAACAAAAACCATCCATGTTACTGAAGTTGAAAATGTAGTCTAAGGAATTATAATATTACCTGAACAGTATAAAGGTTTTCCATCTCAGACACAGTCTACAAGGAATACGTAACTCTCTGCTTTGAGTGTGATTTTAACAAATGCTGGCTAATACCCAAACTAATTCACAGCTAAAGGAAAACCTCCCTTAATTTAACTGGTTTACTTCAACTACTTCATTTAAAGGGTATTTAAAGGTTAGAAATTAGTACGGCATGAGGATGGACTCCTGAAATTACTTTTGTGTATCAACTGTGTCATACAATCCTATTTAACTCACCAAGTTTATTCATATGAATAAGAAAACATTCATCAAACTAAGACTTAGCAAGCTAACTATTACTTTAGCCAAACAAAAAGACAATACTTTTACCTTCTTTCTTAGGGAATATTCTTTCCAAATCTGAATATCGGTTCCACGCCCATGAAGTCTTTCTAAGGTACAAATTTCTCCATGATCAACAAGGTAAGGTACAGCCTTTTTTGCCCACTCTCTGAAACCACTTGTCCTGTTTAAGAAAAATATCTTGAAAAGAAAGTCCCTGAAGAAATGAGTCAGGAAACCACTGTTGCTAGCAAGTTTTACTGGCCTGTCCTCTACAAGGATTAGTCACAATGGGTGAGATGTAGATAAGCAGTTTTAAAAACTGACAGGTAATGGGTTACTCACAGGGGTAACTGCAGTGTAAGGGCAGCAGCAGGTGTCCCTGTATTTACAATTTGGGACATTTTCCTTGCAGGTCTACTGCCTGAACTATGTATTTTGGATATGCAGAATCAGTAAATTAATAACACACTTTCTTAGTGCATATATATTTACAGAACCATATTCCCTGTACGTAATAAACATTTGCTCTTCTAAAACTGGCTGGTACGTTGAAGTTCACTTACCAGCAATCTGAGGCTTAAAGACTTGTAACACCTGCCCAGGTTATTCAGGAGAGAAAGATACCTATTCCTACATGGCTGATATGTTGAAGCCTGTTGGAAAAGTTATTCCAGAAATGGCAGCTGTTATGCAGAAGGCGCAGAAATACCTAAATGAAACCCCTTAGGGTGCTTCTCCTATAGAGGAATGGTTCCTCACTAATGAGTTACCATCCACCATGTGATGATGGCTGTGCAGTATGGCGGTAATGTCACTGGAAAAAAAAGCTTATTTTATAGTGACTGTACTGCTGAACATCATTAGAAGCATTTCTTCCTGTGCTCAAGAGAGCTCTGTGAGAACACAGAAAACACCTGAAAACATATGACAATGCTTGTATTTGTACATAGAGGTGTGTTCCTGTATTGTAATGTTGCTTTCTATTACGTTAAGATTTGAGGGAAGGTTAGAGCTGAATGTGAAAGAATGTATTCATCAAAATACAATTAATGAAATTCATCCCCACAGACAGTTCTACAAAAGAGATCTGAGTAATATTTACTTCTAAATTTAGCACTTACATGAGGAGGTGAGTGGAATTTTAGTGATGTACAGATTTTCTGCATAGGAGGTATAATGTGTGAAAGTAAGAGTTTTAATGTTTTCCAAAGATCAAAACAATACTTTGGGCAATTCAAAAATTCCCCTCTAGAGATGGAACCCCAAAGCAACTGCACAAGAACCCAGACACGATGATAACGTAGATTACATAACACCTAAAGTAAACTGCAAGAACATGTAGATGCCAAAGTGAAATGAATTGTGAAAATCTAATGAAGGTGATGATACATAGACAAGGGTGGCTTCTTAAGTCAAGAGTCAGGCACAAAATACAAACACAGAAGCAATAGGAAACAGCAGGTTTGTCCTTACTGCATCATTGTTACTTAATGACTAGAAATGAAAAAGATGGCTCATATTTTGGCATAAACACAGCATCCAGAAAAAAAGAAGAAAAACACCAATAGTTAGCTCATTAGGTAACGATGTTATGTTAACAACATAGTATTGAGGAAGCAGAGATGGCCAGTCCACTGCCTTCCTGAACAGGTCATGGATCTCATAAAAGACAAGATACATCAACCTCAAAATGATGAAATACTTACTTCAGCATATAACTAAAATTCTCCAGAAATAGTCACTGAGCTCTAAGCTTCAAAAACCAATATGCATCCCAGGACCTGGCTGCGTCACTGCTCTGGTAACTTTGAATCTGCACAACAGGCATGGTGCCAGTAAAGGAAAGCAAACAAACACCCAAACCTTCCTATCACAATGAACTGCTGTGTTTCCCCATTCAAATGCAAGAGTATAGTACACGCCTGGGACAAAATCCCCAATGACATCAATATCCGCACTGACTTCAATGTTGGTTTTTTTTTAGAATAAATCTTCTATTGTGAAACAAAGGGAACCTCTACAAGAACCATGCCAGTCTACTGCAGAATTAATAAGTCTTTTGTAATTAGATGTGTATACCTACTGGAGGTGCCCACTGCAGACATTTTTAATACTGGCAGAACCCAAGGAACTCTGTGGTGATGCAGATTCTTCTTGAAGAGTTTTACAGCTCTAAGAAACAATACAAGCTGAGATTTCTTCTAGATCATGGATGCATAATTTCTGTCTAGTTTAGGGACAAAAAAAAATGCCTCCAATACTTCAGGGTAGCTTTGAAAAACAGTCTCAACCCTACTTATATTTATTCACAAGGCTTCTTCTTGACAAAAATATTTTTGACCATCTGTTCAAATTGTTGAAGTTATCTGAAAGCATGTGGTAAGCTAAATCTCATCCACATTTTGGACCTTTTCACATACATGACACCTGAAGATGAAGGGGTTAACAGTGCCTACAGGGTTACCAATGTTCCACATGAAAAAAAAATGATGCATATGTGTCAGTGAAGCTTGAGAAATGGATTTCATGCAGAAAAGCATCTGTAGCAGCTAGGGCCTGCAGTGGAATTGATTACATATGTGAAATGCATAAACTGATTACAAATGCTCATGCATTTCTTCAAGAATACCTTTTTATTTAACATTCAGATGTGTAAATGCAGATCTTTAAATGATCAAAACTCAGAGTTTTGTGAGTTATGTGAGCACCAGCTCGCACATGTTGTGCACACCTCGTGTTTGTGTGTGAACTGCCCTTCTCCTTTTGGGAAAATCCTCATTGGCAGTGCAAACAGCCAGCAGCTGAACTGAAGCCAGCCTTTGGTTGCCTGTACTATTTCATTCCTTTTAAAAAAATGTGATTTGAAAGCACTTAAATACAAGTGGTACTGAGACACTCCTTACATTCTTTTTTTGCTGCTGTTTATGCACTGGTGTCGTAATGCACATAAAACAACCTGTCCCTGTACTCTTAACACTAACAATAATCATTTGGAAAAATATAATCTTCACTTTCTTACTGTATGTGGCTTTAAATACAGTTGAAGAGAAAAACTGGAAAATTAGATCAAAGGCCATCTATCAGATAAGTCACCTAAGTAAACATATGTAAATATCCTGCTCACAACTTGAAACAAAGACACAAATTCTGAAAGTTGACCAGCAATACAAAATAAAACTCCATCTCGTAATACAGAAATCTTCAACATACACTATTTCAAACATACTGTTTGCTGAAATGCATAAAAAGACACTGAACTCAAGCATATATTGTATTACACAGTAAAGTAAGCAAGACTTATGCAAATGATTACAAATCAGAAAATAAAAGACAAAAACTTGAACTGACCCTTCAGTCACTTAACTTACTGTCTCCTTCCATTACTTTCTCATGAGAATTTTCTAGCAGAAGGGTGGTAGAGGCTGAGCTATGTAACTGCTAGGAGACATAGAAATACAGTATTTATGAGCAATTTGGGGGGATTTTGTAGGCACTGTTTTATAAACTTAGCAAGAAAATTGATGCCAAAGCTTAGCTTTTGACTAAAATATAAAAATCAACTGGATTATTGTTTTGCTTTATTTCAACAAAGTATTGGTATTTAACAGCTTCTGAGAGAAAAGCAAACAGGATTGCAATATGGAAACAATAATTCGCTGTGAATAGAAAGCGTGAGGCACTAAACAAGACGGATAAGACTTAGCAATCCCTGTAATTGACCACATCAGTCCTAAAGTTTTTGAAAGTTTGGAAATCAAATTATTTCAATAAGTTGAAGATAACACAAAACAGAAACATCAATGTATCTTCCTCTGGGGACCACCACTCTCTGGTCCCTTACACAAAGAACCTCCCACAGATATTGCTTCTGAACACAATACAACACTGAACTGGAATATTTAAATCATTTACTTAATAAAAACATTAAATAACACAAACAAACTAAGCAGCACTTCATAAAAACCAAGTATCTCTTCATCTACTCTATTGTAGAACAGTGTCTTAGAAATTCAGCACATGCCATGAGATGCTTCGCTACAAAAGGTTGCCACTCACTGCCAGCAGCATCACTGCCAGTTGCAGAGGACAGAATACAGCACTTGCTGACCCAGCGGCATCCTACTTGTGGATGTGGTTTCTGTGTACTAGTTCCATTGTTAAAACAAGGAGAGCAGAGGTAAAAATTAAAACCACACGGAACATCAAACAGACCCACTTCAAACTGGTAATGAATATTGTAGTCTAATGCTCCCCATTCTGTACATTTTAATAAAGAAGTGGAAATGGAAAGGTGGTATATTAAAGGACTAATCCCTTTTTATCCAGATCCATACCACACCAGACTGACTATGCCTTGACAGAAGATACTGAAACATCCTAACTAAAAACAACTGCTGAACACCAGCATGAACTATAGCTGGACTAGAACTATGTATCTTGGAGGCTTACCTACTAACATTTAAATAAAGTTTGGTGGTTTACCATTTTTTTCACTAAATATTAGTCTAAGGTTAGTCTGCTTCAACAAGGAAACACTTCAAATACTTTCTTTAAAAATAAATAACTAAAAAAACCACAACTAAACCTTTATCATAGAAAAGGGAAGAATTCATCAGGCTGCAATGCAGCTAAAACGGAAGTATAGAAGTCACAATCTATACCTCCAGGCTTACAATTTGCTTCTCCACCAGCCAGTACCTTGTTTAGTCATACATTCCTGCACTGGGACAGTGCTGTACTACCAAATCTGAACTCTACATTCATACTGGTTGCATTTTACTTCCAGTTTGCACAGGAATAACAAAGTGTTCAAGCTGCTAGGGAAAAGACAGGCTTATGGATCTTCAGGTATGGGAAATAAATCTATAATGAGTCAAATACAAGCATGGACCTTTGCAAAGCACTGCATATACATGTGCATGAGTGCTCTAGAAATGTCAAGGAATATACTGGGTGTGATGCGGGTTGTCACTATTCTGACAGAAATTCAAATATACTGGTATTCATATTTAAATAAATAATTAAAAAAATTTGCTATATTTAAAGTAGCAATTTCCAAACAAAATCAAAGCAAACTTAAGTAAGTTCCCTTGGGACTCCCAACTGCACACATTCTTATTCCTAACGAATACACTGCCACAAGAGAGGTTTCCTTTAGCCTGTGTTGCTTTCTGTAGGCATCTTCACAAGTGCTGAGAGCCCTATGACTCCAGAAAACCAATTATGCTTAAACACAGATCCACTCACTGGGTCAGAGACACATGTCTCCAAAACTTTCCTTATTATCCTTAAGGTCAACATACACTGGCCCCTAACTGCAGGATGTCTGGGTTTTATATGAAGTCTGTCCATGAGGAGTTTTAGAAGGGGAAACAATATTAATTTTTCTTTTGTGGGTGCTCATGTAGGCTTTCTTTGGTGGCATGGCTGACTATTGCTCCTAAATGACTTTATGATGATCTTATGCCCAGTATCAATATAGCACATGGGTTTATTTTAATTAACTTTCTAGGGGTGTTCTTTCTGGCATCACTGGTTTGCTTGAAAAACATCAGAGAATTGGGAGACTCGGTAATCATAATCTAAAAGGTTAGCTGAGTGACTTTCTTTTCTCTTATGAGAGAAAGTTTAGGAAGAGCAAAGGAAGGCTGTATTTCTCTGCAGAAGGGCCAGGGCAAGAACTGCATCATACTTTGGCCGTAAGAGTGAAGTCCTGTTCCCACTGAAATCAATAATAAAACTCTCACTGACTCCTTTGCAGCCTGAATTTAACTCTCGGGAACACATACTAGCCATGTGTGTGCCCTATGCCTTCCCTCTGCAGAGAGCTGAATTTCACTCAAAATGCACTGCCATCTATTAGTGAAGTTTGGGAACAAAATTTTATCTTCCAGTAAATTTTGGTTATGTTAAAAATTAATTTATACGGCAAAAGCAAGCCAAGGATGACAGCCCATTTTTCTGCATCAAGTCAGACTGGAAGGACACTAAGTACCCAGGGCTGTGTAACAAGGAGTGTGGCCAGCAGGCTGAGAGGCCCTCTCCTCTCCCTAGTCTCACAAAAAGTACTGCATCAGCTGAAGTACTGCATCAGCTCTGGGGGTCCCAGTACAACTTTCTGCTCGAGTGAGTCCAGAGGAGGCCACAAAGATGATCAGAGGGTGGGAGCACCTCTCCTGTGAAGACAGGCTGACAGGTGGAGCTGCTCAGCTCTGCAAGACCTTACAGCAGACTTTCAGTCTTTAAAGGGGGGTTTTAAGAAAGACAGAGACTTTTCATCAGGGCCTATAGGGATAAGACAAGGGGCGACGTTTTTTAAACTGAAAGAGGATAGATTTAGATTAGATATTAGGAAGACGTTCTTCCCTATGAGGATGCTGAGGCACTGGCACAGGTTGCCCAGAGCAGCTGTGGATGCCACATCCCCGGAAGCGTTCAAACCAAGTGGGATGGGGCTTGGAGCAACCTGGCTCTAGCACGACGTGTCCCTGCCCATGGCAGGGGGCTGGAACTAGATGAGCTTTAAGGTCCCTTCCAACCCAAACCAGTCTACAATTCTATGATACACGTAATAGAAGAAAAGCATAATACCTAATTCAAAGCCTTCTGTAAGACATTAAGTGATTTATCCAGAAAATTGGCATAGTACCTGCTAAACAATTACGTCTTGCCTTGTATGCTACAAAACAGTAATTTGTCATTTAATTTTTTGAAACTAAAGCAAAGATCAGTCCAGTAGGAGGACAAACAAATCACATGAATAGCAAAAGCAACCCAAACAACAACTTTGCCCTTGGCACTAAACCAACATAATTAACTAAGTAACTTTATCTTCACTTGCAAACAAACCACAGTATGGAATATATTATGCTACACACATAATATTTAAGGTTTATTTATAAGATGTTAATTAACAATTAACACAGTTTGTGTTGTGTTGTGGGGTTGAACTCTGCCTCTATACATGCTTCAAACCTATGGCTCCAGAAGGCTTAGTGCTACGCTTTAAGCTACACTTGATCCCACACACTTAAACTCAAAGGTAGATCAGAGAGATAAGAGGCTCTCATCTCCTCCATGCACACATCATGCAGATTCTTCCAATTCTCAGCAAAAGGTTTGGAGAAACCACTTCTTTTTTGATAACTACACTTTTATGTCTGGAGTACACACACTACTGTTCCATGATCTTCACCAACAATGATTAAATAAAATGGTACAGACCCTAGAAAAGGGGGTGGTTCTCAGTTTAGTGACATGATAACAGCTTTTTGCACTGCATATCATTAACAGAATGAGGAATAATGGAAAGT